TGGAAAAACGTGGCACCGTTTCCTTGGGGCAAAGTATCTTGATCCCTGCAGAGATCCCAAAGGAGGTTTCTTTGCCTTGGCCCCACACAGCAGCTCACTGGCACTCAGGTCCGGGCCTTCGGCACAGGGACCTGCAAGATGCTCTGGGGCAGGGAGCACCCCATGCACAGATTGGGCTCCCAGATGGCCCCGTCTGCCCCCCCAGCCAGTGTTTGCACAGACCCAGGCACTCCGGCATGGTGCCAGCATTGAGAAACTGGCACTATCCCTTGTACCTGGGCAGGGATTGCCCTTGCAGAGGGAGCACAGGAGGAAAGACAGTGCCAGAGCAGAGACTTCTGTGTCCCCTCGAGGGGAGCCTCCCCGCTGGCACCACAGTCCCTGTCCCCCTTACCCCCCCCCCCCCCCCCCCCAGCTTCCTAGCCCTGGAAAGCCTTCCACAGCCCAGAGCAGGATGATGGATGGCTGCTATTAAGGCTGCAGAACAGTTCCTGTGCACATCCAGGTGGCTCAGGAGCAATTAGTCACCCACCAGCAGGGGAGAGCCTCGTTATCCCTCTGTCCCTGCCAAGGTGGGAGCCCTTCACCATCCAGGTGGGGGTCTGAGGTGCTCCTGGCACAGCCAGAGGGAGCCCCGTCTCCTTGCGGGCTGTATCTGATGGGCATGTTCCCCACCAGTCCTTCCTGGGAAAGGGCAGGGCTCTGGCAACAGCCAGAGGGCAGGATTCAGACCTGAGCTGATCCCTGCACCCCAGGGCATCTGTTTTAGGGTAAGGAAGAGGGTTGGCAGCCCCCAGCCCCATAGCAGAGATTTAACCCTGTTAAGGGTGATGCATCCCATGGGGTGGGTGCAGTGAAGGGGCTGACGAGAAGGAGGAGAGGGATGCCAGGCACAGCTCTAGCCAGGGGCTCATCTGGCAGTACCACGACAGCAGGGACATTGGCACCAGCCGGCAGCCGGCTGGGAAGGGGGGGCCGTAATGACGGTCCATCTCAGCAAAGGTAGCAGAGCATGAAAGCAATTTCACACTTTATTAGACAATTCAGGTGCCGGCTGCGCAAGCCTGGAGCGAGCACTGCTGCTCACACTGATGCATCTGCTCCGCAGCCCCATGGCTGCTCTCAGTGGGGCTCAGCCCTCCTTCAGGCCATGCAGCACCATACTGATCACGGCTGGCAGCACAGTGAGCAGGGCAGGCTGCTGGGGGCTGCTTCTCATGGGCCATGCTGTTCTCAGGCACAGACGGGTGCTTGGGAACAGTAGAGGTGAACTGGAGCACCATGCCTGCAAGCACGGCCCTGTTTGGCTGGCGGAGCCCTTCAGCTCCTGCTGGGCTCCCCCTGATCCCCTCCTTCCCTGCGCTCTGCATCCCTGCTGCACCCCTATTCCCCTTCCCTGCAGTGAGGGCACGGGTCTGGGTTTGCGGCTTCTCTTGCAGTCACTTTCCTTTCAGACCTGGGTGCCCCAGCAGACCCAATGGGCACATTGACACCAGAGCACAACCATCCTCCTGCAGTCCATGTGTCTCCATCTGGAGATGTGCTTTGCAGCTCCACACCCTGCCCACGACTGGTGCTATGTCCCCAGAGACCAGCATGCCCAGCAGGGCAGGGGGAGCCGAGTGTGAGCTGCCACCTTCCTGCTCGCCGGGCTGGCGCCCTGCACCGCAGGGACATGGCCGTGCTCTATCACACCCCGCAGGTGGATGCTATCCAAGTGCCTGCATGTCCAGGATATGAATCAGCCAGGACAGGAGGGCAGCAGCAGCTCCTGGACAACCCGAGCTGCTGGCACACTGCTCCTGCAGCCAGGCTGTGCTTTCTCCAGGCCCCGTGTGGGTCAATGGGCAGGTTGCAGGCAGCAGCACCCGGCTCTGCTGCCACCTTACAGACCAGCCCCAGGCATTGGCATGCCCTCAGCATGGGATGCGTTTCCCACCCCCTGCAGGGCTCCTCTCCCGTGCTGCCAAGCCACGGCACAGCGGCACCCGATGCCTCACCTTGACCTGACCTCCCGGCGAGGACCTGTCCCTGCCTGGCTGTCCCCCCGTGCCCCCAGCTAAAAGCATGTTCCACCAGGCCAGCCAGAGCATTCCTCCAGGGAGAGCCTGTCCTCACCGGCTATTTAAAGGCGCACTTGTGCTCTTTATCCCCCTCTTGTTTAGGCTGGAAGAGCCCCATACCCTCCTGTAAGAAGGCACTTCCAGGCATGGGGCAGCAGCAGGTGCAATAAGATTGGGTGAAATCGTGGGAGAAGTGAGGGATGCCAGCATTCCAAGTCCTGCAGCCAAGCACTAGGCCACGGGCTGAGGTTTTACCCCATGGGGAAAATCCCAGGGCCATCGAGATCAGCAGCAGGACCAGTGGGTACAGCAGAGGCCAGCTCACCCCTTCGGGTCCAAAGACTAAAGGAGCCGCATTAGCTCATTTCCCTCCTAGTGGGGACATCCACAGCCACTGCGGGGACCTCGGGGTAGGCAGGACACCAGTGCCACCGCCGCTGGGCAGGGTGCTAGTGCGGGCTGGCTCAGCACTTCACTACAGAGCCTCTTGGCACCTCGGCTGCACCCAGCTTGGGGCACAACCGCGTTATCTGGCGCTGGGCAGCCAGCCGGCGCCTGACACAAGCATCCTGTCCCCAGTGTGCTGCCACCTCCTGCGGAGCCTGGTGTGTGGCTCACGTCCATCTCCTGGTGAATGTGCATGGGCTGTTTCCACCTTGCCCTTCATGTCTGTCAGCCCCAGCAAGCACTGATAGATGGACATGTGACAGGTAGAGCCTGCCCCAGGAGAGGCAGTGAGAGTCTGGGACACCTCACAATAGCCTGTACCCCCTGTGCCTGCTGCAGGCAGGGCAAAGAGCTCCTGGCCACACTGGCAGCACTGTCCATGCCTGCAGGGAGGGAAAGGGGAGCTGCTGTTTCAGAACACATGAAACCAGAGCCCTGATGAGTGGGATAGAGAGCACACAACCAGTTTTATAAGTCGCCTGTCAAGTCCTGCCCGCCCCACATCTCCTTCATGCAGGCAGATCAGTGCTCAGGCAGCCGCATTTTCTCAGCTCTCCTTGTCCCGTTTTCACCTTCCACCCTCCGGAGGGTCCCTGGCACCCGCGGCTGCAGAGCGGGACCTGCTCCAGCCGCTGCCTTCTACACCGGCACAGGGCTGATTGCACCTGCACTATGCAGGCAGGAAGGTGACCCGGGGAGAAATCTGACCTGAAGGGAGTTGATCAGGAACGGAAAAGCCTGCAGGAGCCATCAGCAGCGAGCTGGAGGTGCGAGCCTCAGAAACGCAGCCCCTGCGCAGCCGCCCTCGTCCCCAAAGCCCGCCCTCCTGTCCCAAGGAGCCCATCCAGACTAGGAGCATCCCCAGGCAATGTCCCTGCTCCAGCACTGCTGTCCCCTCCCACGTTTCCCATGGGTGAGCATTTCTGGGGGCTTTGCTGCCAGCCGGGCAGAAGTACCAAACCCCCAGCAGATAATGCCCCAGGACCCAGCAGGAGGGTGAGCCCCACAGGCAGCTCTGCCCAAAGCAGGCACCTGGACTCACGTGTGGGGTGCACAGCAAGAGCAGAGCAGCGCCTGGGGCCTGTCCCCACCTGCCTGGCACCCACCCTATCCCTCCCCACACAGTGCAAGCTCAGGCAAGGACATGGAGCTCTGCCCCTCTGCCCAGCCCACAGAGCAGCACCAGCACAGCCACCCTGCCGCCGGAGAGGGCCTGTGGGCAGCAGGCTTGCTGCTTAACTATGGGAGCCGGCATGCCAGCGCTCGCCAGCCAGCCCATGGCACCTTTGATGCAGGAATCCGTAGGAGCCCAAGGGCAGCAGGACAATGCCAGGCTGCTGCATCACCTGTGCCTCCTTGCCCCACTGCCCACGGGCAGTGAGAGGTGGGCAGTATGGCACCCTGGCTGGAGGGTTGCAACCAGGAGGCTCCCGAATTCCCCTCTGACACCGTGTCAGCACTACCGTGGACACAGCTCACTGCCCCGAGCCCCATCGGCACCGTGTTACAGCACAGCATCAAAGCCACAGGGAAAGAGAGGCACAGAGCTGTGACGCCTCAGGCAGTGTGGGAGGCGGTGCTGCCTTCATCCCCACACCGAGCCTTAGGTCAGGAACCCACACAAGCTGGTTCTCCCCAAAGCCTCTCCCGCAGATCCCGTGCTCCTCCACACGCCCCGTGTCGCACCGCTGGTGCGCGGCAGCCCCAGGGCCGCAGGAGCGCAGCGCTCAAACCCCTCCGCGGTCCCCGGCCGGCGGGCAGTGCTGCCACCTCGCGGCCGCGCAGGAACACGACCGGTCCCCACGCGAGGCCCGAGCCCCCCAACACGGTGCGGCGGAGCCACGGTCTGAGCTGTTGTAATGTCAGCGCAACGGTCACCGAACAGCATCTGGGGTTCACGGAACGCTTCTCATCACTACTGCTCGAAGCGCCTCCCAAACGGGTAGGCAGCATCATAGAACGGTTTGGGTTGGAAAGAAACTTAAGATCATCTAGTCCCAACCCCCTGCCACAGACAGGGACACCTTCCACCAGAGCAGGTTGCTCCAAGCCCCATCCAGCCTGGCCTTGAACGCTGCTAGGGATGAGGCAGCCACAGCTCTGGGCACCCTGTGCCAGCGCCTCAGCGCCCCCAAAGGGAAGAACTTCCTTATAGCTAACCTCAGTCTCCCCTGTTTGTTTGAACCCATCACCCTTTGTCCTATCGCTACAGTCCTGATGAAGGGTCCCTCTCTGGCACCCTTGTAGGCCCCCTTCAGATACTGGAAGGCTGCTATGAGGTCTCCATGCAGCCTTCTCCAGGCTGAACAGCCCCAACTTTCTCAGCCTATCTTCATACAGGAGGTGCTCCAGTCCCCTGATCATCCTCGTGGCCCTCCTCTGGACTTGCTCCAGCAGCTCCATGTCTTTCTTACATTGAGGACATCAGAACTGTACTCAGTGCTCCAAGTGGGGCCCTGCTGGGGTGGGAAACCAAGGCCAGGAGTGATGATGTGAAGGCTGTGCTGACAAAGGGACCACAGTAGCGCATTGGGGTGGGCACTCAGGCAGGTGCAGAGCCTGGTGAGGAGCAGCAGCTGTGTCTCCAGGGCTGCTTCACCTCAGTCTCTGCACTCACATCAGCACTGTCCCAAGACCCTCTTTCCAAGAGCCTCAGTTGCTCCCCACTGGGCTGAAGACCCCTCTGCAGCGCTGCACCCTTTGCAGCTCCATCCTGACCTAACTGGGGACAAGGACAGCACTGTCTCCTCTTCCCGAGGGACCTGTCACTGACATGGATTTCAGCAACCCCCTGGTAAACACCAGCCACCTGCCCTCACTCTGTGCTGCTTCCCTTTGTGCAAACACACATGGGACACGGCACCCTCACGCCTACCCATCAAAAACTGCCTCCCAACCGCCATCCCTCACACCCGTGTCCCCTGGGCCCTATTCTGCCAGCTCCTTCCCACCATCTTCCCAGCCAGGGGTCACCCCCCTCCAGCATCTCCCTCGACGAGTCCTCAGGTGCCAGGCAGACCGCTCTCATCCAGTGAAGCCCATGCCCTTGGGTGCTCACACAGGCAAGCTCCAGCCCGTGGGCTCCTGCACGGGGACGGTCACCAGGTAGCTGGAGGGCACGTAGCCCCTCTGGCCATTCACCTCCACCAGGCTCCACTCCTTGCTCCCCTTCTTGTCGTGCGGCTCCAGCACCACCACGGGCTGCCCTGCCTGGAGGGTCACCTCCTGCGGGCTCCTGGCTGCGAAGGAGAAGCCAGCGACTACCTGCAAAAGGCAGGGGAAGGAGGGAGGAAGCCCTTGCAGGACATGAAGGGGAAAGGACAGACATGGCAGGAGGCCACTCCTGAGAGGGCAGCACAGCAGTGCCATGGATGCAGGGACACTGGGGACCACATCAAGCACAGCTCTGTCCATCCTCAGGCCCCAACAGGGCAGACACCAGCCTCGCAGGGCACACAGTGTCAGGCTGTGACCCTGTCCTGCTTGGCACATGGCTGCACATGAAGCAGGTTCACCTTCCCACCTACCCCCTGCACACACAAGGGTTCGTATGAAGCTGGTGGGGTTGCTAGGAATGGTCCCCACTCTTACCTGGTAGGTTGGGGTAAAGGTGGGCACTTGAGGCCTGGGAGCTGCAGGTGATGCAAATGAATGTCTCCTTCTCTCTGTGCTGCTCTCAAGGGTCAGCATCTGCATCCCAGGCTGCTGGCTTTGTGCTGGGCAGTAGGGCTGGAGTTTTCCAGCAGGCACAAACCCTCGGGGACCTGGAGAATAAACACACCCAGAGGTCATGGGGCCCTGCTGAGGATATCCAGCAGCAAACCCCCCCCCGAAAGGGATTTCAAGATGTTGCTGTGTGCATGGGATTCTCAATTCTCCTTTCCCAGCCATTACACTTCATAACAAGAGTGCTCTTCGGGGAATGAATGGGGAAACCTGAACTTCACTGCTAATGGCTATGGGCGTAACTGGCAAGGCAAAGGTGGTTTCGGGCTGAGCAAGCCCTGGAGGGGAAGACCCAGGGGGAAATGGCCCACTGTTTCATCCAAGATGAAGAGGTGATTTGGGTTTGATTTCTGACCCTGGTGCCAAGGTGGGGAGAGGCTCCCCATAGCGCTCACAGTACCTCCAGCATCCACCAGCCATCTGTTCGTGTTCCCCTTGGTGTCCACACTCTGCAGCAGAGCTACAACCTGTCCTCTTTGCAAGGTCAGGTCCAAGTCTCTGCTGCCACTGATGTTGCTTGTCACTTGGTAAAGCTTGTCTGGGCCGTGCTTGCTCACAAGGGAAAGGACCTTCCGCTCCTCAGCAGGGTTCAGAGGCTGGTGGGGAGCAAGAGACACAGAAGCACCCGATGAGACAGAGGCATTTACACGTGCTCTGCTTTCTGCAAGATCACAGGTTGAGAGGTTAGAGGGGAAACTCCTTCGCATGAAGCTCTACTTCAGGGTTTGGAGATGTGTCCAAAACCAGAAGAGCTGAGACAGTGGTTGTGGAGTCCCCCCCATGCCACTTTCTGAGCCAGATGTTACGCACCGGGAAGCCACAGCCCTTCCTCTTTATCCATGTGGCCTGAGCCATCCCCTTCCCAGCTCCTACCTGCGCCACAGGGCTTGGTGTGACCGTGTCAAACGTCTGTTGGAAAGCGTGGAGCTGAGCACCAGACTGCTGCAGGGCATCCTCCACCATCTTCCAGAAACTGGGCAGGGGCATGCGGCCATGGGGCATCTGTGGAGACAGACTGAGATCAGAGAGGGCCCAGCAGGGGAAGAGCTGATGGTAGGATCAAGAGAAATGGAGCAAAGGGGCAAGAAAGTGAGAGAACAGACCTGGCGACTAAAGATGCACCTTGCATCTAGGATCAAAGCTGCTCCTCTCTAGCTTTGAGCCACCTTTCCTGGGCAGGACCATCACACATGGGGCTCTTGGGGTGGCCCCAGCTCACCAGAGCAGTCCTTGAGTCCTGCTACCCTGCCCTGAGGCCACAGCCCTTCCCTCTTTATAAATGGAGATGGGTAGATGTAGCTCCAGGGTAGATGTCTGCAGCATGAGCATCCCAGACTGACCAAGAGCAATCCAACCTCACAACCAGGTGTCTATGAAAGCTGCCTCCATGTGGCTGCATCTTGTTCTTGTCTTAATCATGGGTTAGGCCAGGGCCATGCTCTACCCCAGGGCTGTGCACTGGCCTGACCCACTGCAATTGCAAATGTCAGTCTCAAAGAGTACTTTGCGGTGGGGAGACATCTCCCAGTGGATAAGGTGAAGGGATGCTCTTTTGTTTGTCCAGGAGCTGTCTCTCTCCTCCTTGCCTTCCCAGCACAGAGCTCTCAGGAGCTCAGAGTTAACACTGATCTCTCAGGCAGCACATCAATAAATTAACAGTGGTGCCCTCTAAGAGAAAGCAGGACAGCTCCTGGCAGGGAAGAAGAGAAAATTTGGCTTCTCCCAACCAAAGGAGAGGAGAGATCCCTACAGATGCTAGGGGAGGACCTGTATGTCTGCTTGAGTGGGCTTGGGCTACAGCAAATCAGTGCCCTGATGTCCAAGTGATGTCCCAAGCCTGAAGCAGTGGGTTTGGCTCAGCATGCGTGCCAGTTTGGGCACACACGCAGAGGGGTCACCCTCACCTGCTCCAGCTCCTTTTCTGCCTGGTGCAGGACCTCGGCAGCCAAGTCCCACTGCAGGGCGCTGAGGGAGCGCAGGATCTGCCCCAGGAGCTGCAGGGCAGCCTGGTTGAACGTCGGCAGCTCGGCCACGAGCAGCGCGTTGATGGCGAGGTAGGTGTTCATGGCGGCCTCCTCGTCGTACGTCACGCTGCCCACCTCGCTCCTTCGCTCCTGGATCTCCTCGTAGTCCAGCAGCTTGTCCAGGCGCTTCTTCACCAGCTGCTGCGGCCCCACCAGCATGTCTGAGAGGCTGCACAGGGGCTGGCACACCAGCTTGTCCAGTCGCTGCTTCTGTGGGGCGAGAGAATACACGTGTCGGTGTCAGCCCTGAGAGGGGACGGGCTGCCTGCATGAGGCTTGCTCTTACAGAGAAGAAAAGACCTGGGGACCTGTTGAAGGGCTTGTGTGGAGCGGGGAGCATCTGGGGCATCCTCCCTCAAGGCACACAGGACTCCAACTAAACCAAGCCCCGGTAGAGAGCAGTTATGCATGTTATGCATATCCATGATTCCAAACTTGTTACCCCACACAGCTACCCTCCCTCCCTGTGCTGGTGCTCCCTAGGGATGCTGGCACCCAGATGTGGGGCCCAGGCTGTCCTGCTACACTCCTCACTGCTTGGAAAACTTCCCCAATGGCATTCAGGGGGACAGCCACCACCCAACAGGGAGTCCTGAACAACCAAGCAGTGGTAGTAGGAAACAGAGGGTCTTCAGCCCTCAAACATAAGGCATGATGTCCACAAAGCATGGAGAGGTTGGATTTGGGAGCAGATGCCTTGTGTGAGCCAAATAAACTGTACCTCTGGGCTTCCCACCACTCTGTCCTCCACTGCAGCCCTACCTGCATGTCCAGCCATCAACATGTCAGGGTCCTGAATGCACAAACAGCCTTTAATAGCCCAAACCAGCCTCACCTGGGGCCTCCACCCTGCTCACAACCCATTTAAAGGTCTCCTGCTTCTCCTTGTTATTGCTCTGAATGTGTTGGGGTTTGTGTCTTAGCTAAACTTTGCATCCCTGCTGTAGGTAGCTTAGCTGTTGGATGAACCCATCAGCTGGATGTTACAGCTTGTCTCCAGCCCTGGATGGGCTTTAATGCTTCTAGCCATGTCTCTGGCTCTGCCTCCTCTTTCCTGGATGGATGCTGGACCTGGTTCTTTACTTCATGTATCTGAGGCTGCTGATGGTCCTTTTGCCTGGCTCTGCCTGCAGTGTTCAGCCCCCAGGGGAGTGTGCCTGTTGGTGAGGACACTGCTTGCTCTGGGATCCCCCTCAGCTCTTGGCTGCCCTACCTACCCTGGCGGGAGGCATGAGAGCAGTGCCTGGCAGAAGGAGCACTCACAAACTCTGGGAGAGCAGTGCAGTGGAGGTGTTGTGCAAAGCTGCGGTACTGCTGCGCAGGTCCCTCGGTGAGCTCCAGCTCATGCTGGTGTGGGGTGGGCAACAGGAAAGCCTGAAAGGGAGAAAGATGTCAGAGGTGACCTGCAGAGTCTGCCACCACTGACTAACCTGTCTATAAGCTGGCCCTGTGCTCCCAAAGACATGATAATACCCCTGTCTGGGTGCTCTGCAGCCCAGTGGGATGGATGCTCTTGTGCTACTCCTGTTTGCAAGAGAGGGAACATGCTAGGGTGTTAACAAACATCTCTGCTCAAGGAGGGGTCATACATTTCTAAGTACCTGCTCAAGTTACTCCTACCCCAACAAGGTGGCCAAGGCTGCCCTGTGGCCCCAGGCAGCCTGCCCCAGATTGGTGTTGCCTGGTGCTTTGGTGTTTGGGTTTGGTGTTCCAGCAGCTCTGGAGCTTCTTGTATTTGTGAACAAAACCTTCTCCCTGCCTCTGCAATGAGAGTGAGACTGGTGGGAAAGAAAACCGGCCAGGGATGGTTTAGAGGAGACCTCAGCTTTGAGAGGCTTTGCTCTAGTATTAACCCTGGGCAGCAGCCTCCTTCCTGCCTCTCCTGCTACTGAAGCAGGTGATTTCGGAGGGGAAGTCTGTCATCAGGCCTATCTGGGGACATTTCTGCCTTATACCTGTTATTAACACAGCAATTCCCCAGCTGAACAACACTTGGCCTTTTCAGCTATTTACCACCTTGGAATAATGGTCATTTTAAGGACAGGTTATCCTCAAATGACACCCAGCTCAGACTGCATTGACGAAGCCTCATTTTGTTTTAAGCTCCCCTGGACGTGAGCAATCCTTGGATGTTGTGCAAGTTGCTAGCACAACAGCCCCCTTCAGCTAAGAGATGCAAGTCCCTGAACATCCCAAACTGCTATGAGCTTCCACAGGGCTTGAAAGTATTCTGTGACCCCAAGAATCAGGCCTGAGGACTGAAAGGGGCCAAGCCCCTGCAAATGGTCAAGGGTTTACCTCTAAATGGCCCAGGTAGGATGCCACATTCTCCTTCAGTGTGGTCACGGCAGACACCACGCACTGGAACTTCTCTTCCAGGTCATCATATTCCTTGTCCCGAGTCTGCAAGGCAAGGGACAGCTTAGCATCAGCGTAGGCAGGCCAGGTGATGCCTTGACAGAGAGGATGCCCTTCACAGAATACCAACAGAAACAGCATCTTGCCTGAAGCTCACAGTGCTGGGGATAAGCAGGGGAGACCCCAAGAGGGTCCAGGAATCTGAAAAAGGCTGCGATCTATTTGTGCTCAGGATGCAGCTAGAAACAAAGCTTCTGGTGTGGTGCTGCTGGAGAACACTGGGGTGTCTTTCCTTTTGCTGGGGTGCCCAAAGATCCCTTTGGAGGGCAAACTGTTCCCCTGCAATGCCTTGAAGCGGGGAGGGAGGTGTGTACTTGCATCCCTCCCACCCTTGCTTGGGATGAGGGACCGGGAGCACTGCTCCAAATGGAACTGTAGCTCCCATGCCAGCACCGGCCACCGGGTGTCAGCATCGGCCACCCCACCCTGCTCCGCTCTCCCGACCCGCTGGAGAGGCCCCGGGGGCAACCCGAGGAGAGGCAGCGGGTCCGTGGGTGCAGGGCTGCCCACCTTGGCCACGATGCCGGCCTCGTGCATGAAGAGCCGGCTCAGCCGCGAGGTCTTCTTGGCGATGGAGTGCGTGTTGAGGCGCGCGAAGCGGTCCCGCAGCGTCAGGTGCTCGGCCTTGTTGTATTTGGTTGCTGCCCCGGGTCGGGCACACGAGGTGAGAGGAGGAAAGGTCAGAAAAGGAAACTTCAGGGCAGCAGCGTCAGCAGCCTGAGCGGGCAATGAGGCCCCGAGCTGACAAATCGTGATCAACGGGATAAGCACAGCCCACATCAAAGAAGGGAAGCCCCGGGGGAAGTACAAGGGAAACCAAAAAGAAGAATAAGCTCCTGTTTGTGGGGAGCCTGACTTCTATCCCAAGGGCACGACTGTTCCTTCCCATTCCCATCTCTGGCAATGCAGACACACTGGTTTTGTGCCCACTCCTCCCCACCACCCTGCTCCTGCAGCCTTTGGGTCTTGCCCAGCTTGGCATCTGCAGGACCAGAGCAGTGCTGGCTGCTGCCTGCACCACACCGGGAGCTGCCTGCACTAGCCTGTGGCTCCACAGGCAGGATGGGTGGAGAGCAGGAGAGGCCTGAACTGATTCAAGTAGGAATTAGTGCAACACCAAGGGGAGACAACTGGGACTGGGCTGGGGCTGCCCAGACACTGTGCCCCCTGCCTGCACCGTGCACCAACCACTCACCCACTTCCTTGCGCCGCTTGTACTCATTGATGTTGGTGTTCACCTGGGCCATGGCACGGATGGCTGCCTCCAGCGCCGAGTACACGCTGGTGTTGGGGGGGGTGTTCTCAAGGATCTTCCCCAGCAGCAGCGGGTATTTGGTGACCCTCTGCACCGGCATCACCAGGAAGAAGCTGAGGTCCGATGCACTCGTGTGAGGCCTGATGGAGAGGGGATCGCTCAGGGTTGGCATTGAGGGCTGCTCCCTGCTCTGCTGTTCCCACAGCTTCTCTGTGAGCATTCCAGGGGGAAAGCAGCACCTCTCCAGCTGCAGGGAAGCTTTGCTGCCTTCGACCCATAGGCAAGCTGTGCCCAGCAGCCAGGGGGGGTTCTGGCTGTGAACTCTGCTCCCTGCCAGCTGCTGGCAGGGGATGCCATCAGTGCCAGCCCCAGGCAGTGCTCTGCCTCCCTAAACAGTGCTGTGCTTGTCTAGCTGGGAGGCACAGGATGGGAGCTTGCTCCAGAGGCAATGGGGAGGGAGGGTGTGGGTAAAGTGCAGGCAGGCTGCAGGCAGGACAAGCCTGCTACCTGCACGCAAGGCATAGCTCATTTGGGAGTTGTACCCCCTGTGCCCTGAAACAGAGCAGCAGATCCCAGCAGCTCCTCTGAGGTCATTCCTGCTTCCCCTGTCCTACTCTCTGATGGTGTTTGTGACTCCTCTAATAGTTCAGGAGGGGTTTGGCAGGTCTCCTAGGGCCAGCCTGTCCCTCTGGTTAAGCTGGGGGACATGTGTCCTCTGTGGGCACAGCCTCTTGGACTGTGGAGCAGGCAGGAGATCTGGGTGCCACCCCATCCCTTAGTTTGGAGTCCACCATAAAAGCCCACCAACCTGGCAAGTGGCCCCAAGAATGCAGGACAGGCTGCCAGGGACTGCACCAGGCAGGGCCAAAAAGGCAATGGCCATGGAATCAGACTCGGCCTGGTGGCATGTGCCCATGCAGCAGCTTGTCCAGACAGAAGGAGGGCAAGGCCAGTAGGTAAAACAGGGAGAGGGAAGCGGTGGCCTCAGCAGCAGGTACCTACACTGTTGCGTTCAGAGTGTCCAGGATCTCCTCCTGCAGCCTGGGGTCCTTGCGGTAGGTCTCCACCAGCAGGAGGGCATGCTCATAGCTAGCACAGTAGATCTTGTAGGTGGTCTCCATCTCTTCCTTGAACTCCTGGAACAGTGTGCCTGGGGATGGAGAGTGAGGTAGGAGAGGATGGTCCTTTCCTGTGGCCTCAGGGAAAGGCAGAGGGTTCTCCCCAACCTGCTGGGAGAGTGAAGCTGGCAGAGCAATGCCAAATAGTACAGGTCAGCTCTCGTGCTGTACCACTTACTGATGCAGAACAGCTGCTCATGCTCACTGGTGGCTGTGGTCGTGCCCTCAAGACCCTTCAGAAACCGTCTGGACATGTGCAGGATGTCATCAGTGTTAGAGAAGAGTCCTTCCAGGTCAAGGTCAGGCAGCTGAAGGGAACAGAGGTGCCCCAAGGTAAGCTAAATACATCAAGTAGAGGTGGACCACGTGTTCTGGAGGCACTCATGCCCTCCTGAGCACTTACGTCCTTCCAGCTGCCCCACATGACACTCAAGGAGCTGGAGCGATGCTCTGTTTCAGGAGCACTGGGGACGCTGAGACCTGCCTGTGCTCGTGAGTGGGGCAATGAGGCCTCTTCATGTTACAGATGCAGGGTTAAAGCCACAGGATGGCTGTACTGGGTCTGACCCAATGTCCATCCAACCCAAGAGCTTAGTTGACTGAGGGAGACCAGGAAGGTAGAAGGTGAGCATGTGGCTACCTCCCTGCAGTGATTTTGGACATCTTGGAGCTCTCAATAGGTTCATGCTGCAGTCCCCAGCCCCTGGATAGGGGGATGCATCCTGCCTCACCTGCTTCTTCTGGAGGTGTGCTCGGATGTCCAACACGCAGAGCTGGATGTTGTGGACGTAGCTGGCTTCAGTGGTGATGAGCTCCTCCACGGCCAGCCGTTGGCTTAGCTCCATCCTGTCGCAGGGCATCACCTCCTCATAGACACCCTCTTCAGCCTCAGCTGCATCCTCAGCATCAGGCTCTGCCCTGGGGTCACTTGCCATCTTGGCAGGACACTCTGCAGGAGGCAGAGGGGGTTAGGGACAGGCCACACAAAGGCAGCCCCAGGACCAGCGCTCCAGTGACCAACCCAGCTCAGTGCCCATGCTCCCTTCCCTGTGCTGGGGGCACCCCACAGCACATCCCCAGGGACACTCAAGCCGTCCACATGCGCTTACAGGCAGGTTATGGATGACACTGCAAACCCACAAACCACGAAGTGCTGCAGGCCAGGAGCAGGCTGGCTGTGGAGAGCAAGCACCCACATGAGACAGGCAGGGACTTGCCACACACACATGCCCAAGCTCCAGCAACCACATGCAGGGCCAGAGTGCAGGCAAGGGGAGCCCCATTGCAGGCAGAGGCCTGGCAGCATTCACCCCGCACTGGGACTATGCAGGGCTGCTCCCCAAGGCACAGTGGTATTTGCAACCTCTGCTCCCACTCCTTGCTCCTAGGGCAAGCTGTTCCCTCCCTGCCGTGGCTGCCTGCGCCTGGCACCTTGCCTTGCCTTGCCTTCAACAGTCCTATTCAAAGTACAAAGAGTGTTTCTGCAGTGCTTGAACAAAAGATGTTTCTGTGGCAGGCAGAGATGGTTTAACAGTGATGAGGATGGGGGAAGAAGCTACAGGCGCCTCTGCCAGGAGCACTCCCAGTCCCTGGTGCACAGTGCCTGTGCCCTGCCCAGCACAGCCTGCTCCCTGCTCCCCTCTGCCTGCAGAGAGCGTGGAAAATTGGAGTTGATTCATTCCATTTCCTTCTCCGGGAACATCCTATGCTGTAACCAGTACTGAGGAGGATGGAGCAGCTCCCAGAGCACCACAGATAGTGCTCGATGTCAAGCAGGAGGCCTTGAGAGACAGGCATGGCGCAGCCCACACCAGTGCAGAGCACAGCTTGGCTGGACCCAGACCCCAGCCAGGACCAGCAGGGATGGATGCTGCCAGGCCGCCTGCCCGTGGAGGCTGCGGGGGAGTACAGAGTGAAGGCAGGGCCGAGGTGGCTTGGCAGGATAAAAGCGAGATGGCAGAGGCAGCAGCACAGGGAGGGCAGCTCTGCCTCTGCCTTCTGCCTTCTGCCTTCTGCCAGCTGCCCAGCCAGTGCCAGGCCGGGACACAACAGGTTCCTGCTTCAGAGGCTGCAGCCCCGGGCACCTGCAGTGGGAGCAGAGGGGCTGGCAGGACATCCTGAGCCTGGAAAAGGGTTCAGCTATCAAGCGGGCACTGGGCAGGATGAATGGCCCCTCCTGGCACATGTGCACTGCTACACTGGAGGAGAGCTGGGCTTGGCACAGCAAGCCAAAATGCCTGTGATGAGGTATGGGACCTCTGCCTGCCTTCCAGGGGCATGATCCCCTGCCAGCTGTCATCCCTGCCCTCTGCACATTTGGCTGCCACCCCTGCCTGTGGCAAGGCATCGGCTGCTATGGGACATGGGGAGTGGGAGACGCCTTCCTGAGTGATTTTGGGTGCTTCCGAGGTGTCCAGGCAGAAGGATACCCATCAAGAACTGTTGGACAAGCCCAGTGCCCTCTGCCTGGGGGTGACAGCAGAATCCTTGCTCAGAGGAAGGGCTGCAATGGAGGCATGTGGAGAGCCCTGGTGTGAGACATGCCTGAAGAGATGCCTGGCAGCATGCAGGCAATGGTGCGTCACTGGTCCCTGCACCAGCATCCCCCAGAGCATGCTACTGCTTTGGGGGTTGTCCCCAAGCTGGGGAAACCTCTTTCCCTCCCCTTACCCCCCTGGCCCGAAACATCAGAGGAACAGGAGAATAGGGCAAAAAGGAGCGTTTCTGCGCAGCGCTGGAGCAGGCAGAGAGAGGAGGCGCAGGTTTCCCCCCCCCCGGCTCTCCGCCCAGGCAGCTGCCTGCCTCTGATATGACACCGCTGCTCAGTGGCTCCGCGGATCCGCAGGGAAGGGACGCGGAGGCCCCGGTACTCTCATAGCGCCCGCAGCGCCGGCACCCCTTGCCCCGGTCACCCCGCACCCCGAAACCAGCGGCCCCGGCTCTTACCTGCGGAGGCGCCGGGGCTGGCGCCGGGGAGCCGGGCCCGGCCGCGGCCGCTCTACCGCCGCTGCTGCGTTAATGATCAACCCGCGGCGGGACCGGGGCAAGGCAGGAACCCCCCCCCCCCCCGAGCCCGCCGCCCGGCTCGGGCCCCGCCAGCGCGGTCAGATGAGCCGCGACGCGCTCCCTGCGCAAGCCCGGCTGCGGCGCGGGGGGGGGCTGGCACCGGGCGTTCGCCGCCTCCCGGCAGCCGAGCCCGCGGGAGAGGAGCTGGGAGAGGAGATGGGGACAGGAGCTGGGCAACCGCCGCCTGTCCCCAAGCGCCGTGCCCGGTCTGTGCTAACCCCCGGCACGGCAGCCGCGGACCCACCTTTCCGCCCCTCCACCCCCAAACCTTGGTGCTGCGCCAGTGCAGTGATATCCTGTGCTGCAGCTCCGGCTGGAGCGCAGGGGATGATGCACCAGCTCACCTGTCATAAATAAACAGGGGAAAGTCCTCTGGGGCTGCTTTTTGCTAAGGCTACAGTGGGCTGCTGCCTCAAGGGGAGCCCAGCTGGTGCGCTGGTTGCTCCCGCAGCCCATCCAGAAATGAACAGGATTCCCCCTGAGTTATCCCGTGGGGAATCCGGGATATGCCACAGCCCCCTCTGCCATCGCTTCCCAGCAGCTTAGCCATGGAAAAGGAGCAAACAGAAATGAAAATATGTAACTGAGGAAGTGGTTGCACGGGTTGGGCCATTGGGAGCTACTGGTTATTAGGCGTGAAGTTTTCTCGCTGGTGAGTGTTTGCATTGTTATAAACAACTATTAGAAGAGAGAAGCTGATCTGCTGCCAACTCCTGCCACTGGAGCTCAGCCACAGCGTGACCACAGGGAGGGGGTGGCGGCACATGGGGTTTCCAGGGTGACCCACAGTGTCCAAAAGCTGTCACTGCAAAAAGGACTTATGAGTCAGTGACTCACACAGGTCGCAGGTGGTGTCTGTGTCCATAGACAAACATCCCTGTGGCCAAGAAGAGCTCTCTGGCACAACACTTCCCTCTGGGTCCATTACGGGGGGAGGGAGCCAGGCCCCAAGGTGCAGGGTTGATGTGGGCTGGACAGGGCACATGGGGGCCTGCATGCATCTGCTTCACTGGCTCCCAGTGCTGAGGCCAGGAAGGCCAGCCTGCCCCACTGCCTTCCCTGCCTGCATCCCATCCTACCCACAGAGAGGCTGGGTGAGGCTTATGGGGCTGTGCCGAGGGGCCACAAGCTAAAAACATGAAATCTCACTCCCTCATCCCTGTGCTGGAGGGGTGCTGCAAGACACAAAGAGGAGCTGTGAGTGGATAATCTGGCCAGCAACAGCAGGAGGAGCCAGATGCGAAGAGGCAGAAGCGTTAATGCCCAGGCAGGTCTCTGGGGTAAAAGCCAATGCACAGCGATGTCCCCTGGCTGGGGTAAAGCCACCCCATGAGAATGGTTCCCAGGCTGACCCAGATCATATGGGCTTAGGGAGAGACGTGGCCATGGGAGAGATCCGCACGCAGCTGGTCAGCAAAGGCTTTACCTGGCCTTGGGGACACAGTTGTTGTCCTTCCTCCCTTGCACGTGGCAGTGGGGATTCAGTCCTCGCTCAGGCACTTTGTGAAGCAATGAAATGCCTGGCCAGGCAGCCTTCGGGCTGGCATCACACTGATGTCAGGAGTTGCGCAGCTCTGTCCTTGGGCAGGCACTCTCGCTGCTGTGTCCAACATAACCATCATCCCTCCAGGCACGTCACTGGTGCTTTGCTCCTACCAGCATCTTGCGGCTGATCACGCCAGGGCAGAACCCACACTCCAGTGGATGCTGACGGAGTCCTGACAGGGCAGTGCTCCCCCTCGGATGGTGTCCTCACGTCCTCACTCCCCAAGGCTGGCACAGCAGGCAGGATTCAGGCCACCCGCTCCGCCCCGGCCGGCTCACGTCACGGGTGTTGCCTTGGGCATATTTCCCATTCCAGTCCTGTTTTTCAGTCGCTGGATAACCTGCCCCCAGCGAGCTGCTCGCAGCCCCGTGGGGAGCGGCCGACACCTCCTTGTCCCCACTGCAAGCCGTTTCCTTCCTGCCATGCTGCTGCTCCCCTCCTCCCGTCCAGCCCATGGGCCGGGGTTGCCGTGGCTCCGCTTTGCCTGGGTGGCAAGGAGGTAGGAGCAGTGTCACTGCGCTGTCACCACCCCAGGGCTCCCCAGGGAGGCGTGAGACCAGGCTGGCTGCCCCGGCCCGGCTCTGCTGACAGAGGAAAAGCAAACAGGCGCCGGCTGGTCGAGCTCAGTTGTTTGTGTCCCAGGGCGAGGTGTTGTGATCAGGTTAAGCTAAGCTGAAGGGTCCGAGCAGGGTGTGCTGTCCCCTGGCACTCGGCATCGGCAGCAGTGTGTGCAGCTGGCGCTGCCAACACAGAACCTGGCAGGCGGTGGGACCCTGCAGTGGGGAGCAGCAGGGAGGCAGGACTGCCTTCACCCACAGCAGAGCCAGGCTTGGGTAACCTCAAGTTTATACAGGGTGCTTCTTGCAGGGCAAGAGTGAGCATCCTCCACAGCACTGCCCAGGCACAGCAGGAATGCTCTGACAGCTCTTTTATGACACTGTTTAAACAAAAACCGACCCAACCTGCTGGTGGGACAAGGTTCCCCTGTGATACTCCCCATGTGAGGACCACAGGCCCAGTCCAGAGGATGGAGAAGCACCTGCTTGATGGTGCTGGGCTCCAGCTCAAAGCATCAGCAAGAAGACAGGTTTGCAGGGCAGGAGGCTGATGGTTGCCCGAGCCAAGCTCAGGAATATGTGGCTGCCCAGTGTGTACACAGCCATCTCAGCAGAGAAGGTGATTATTGCCCCTCTGCATCTTACCCTGAACTTCTGCTGGCTCCCTGAAAGCCTTTTGCTGCCATCAGAGCTTTCCTACTACTCAAAATGCTAAAGCTCAGCTTACGGGGATGAAAGCTAAAGCCATCAGGGGGCTCTCTGGGAACACAGCAGATAAGCTTTGAGTTAGGGCTTGCTCAGAAAATAAACACAACTTTGAGCCATGCAAAGCACGGCTGTTCAGGCTGTGCCTAATAACAGCAGGCGGGGGTTCCTCCCCGAGCAGCAGCTTTGCACAGGAAAGTTACATTTCCTCTGTTTAATTTTTTTCCATTATTACTGTTCTTTGGATTTCTTTCCCATCTTGAAAGGACTTTGTGACCCCATGCCGTTATCAGCCATTCATGGTGGAGATGAAAACACAGGGAGAAACACAGCAGCTCAAGAATGTGCTTGCAGGTGCGTCCTAATCACAACTTCCTCCCACGCTGAAGGTCTAGGAAGTGGACTTTGCATCCAACACCATTGCCTGTATGTGCTGTGGGGCAATTTGAGCTAAGGCCATAGGAAAAGGGTGGAACAACCCACGCGATGAAGGTCTTCATCCTGCTAGGCTGGCCATCAGCATGAGCAGCTCCTGAAAAACCACTTGGGTGTCATGCCTTTCTCTTCCTTCTTCCCTCCCCAGCTAACCCAACTTGTGCTTCTGTCCTCTGTGGGAGGCAAGGAGGGGTGTGTGTGCCTGCCTGGGATAATCCCATCCATGTTCTTGGCCTAGGGCCTGCTCCTGGGCAGGTAGAAACTGTGTTGGCTCCAGTGGTCTGGAAGGAGCTGCAGACTCCAGCCTCATGGCCAGGGGACACTGCCTGCACCACAAGGCACAGCACAGGCTAAAAATAAGCAGAATTTGATCCAAGCAGAATAAAGAGCCAGCTCTTTATTTCTAAGAGGGTTATTTATGGGCCTTAGTCAGACCTTCATGGAGAAGTCTTCAACCCCTCTCGGCTTCTCTGAGGCTACAGCAGCTCAAGTCTTCTGTATCAATGTTTTAGTGCTTGAAGCTTCATTTCCACCAGCCTCTGTGGTCCTTCCCTCTCGCCACTGAGTCCTGCTGCCTTGCACTGCTTTTCCTACTCCAAGATTCCATTTCTCTTGCAGGGCTGGTGACTGGGCCTTTCGCCATGTGTCCCATGTCACTGACACCCCATCAAAGGGCAGTGCCAGTGGCACCACTCCTTGCCCAAAGCACCCTACAGGGCAGGCGCACCATCCCACCCAGTACCTTCAGTGAGGAGGGAACGAGGCATGAGGAAGGTAAGAAGAATTTGGCAGATTCTGGCGGTCTGTGCTGGTTTGTCGTTTCCACTGCTCAAACCCGCATCTTCTCCCTGCCTGGCTTTGAGCAATTCCTGCTCCTGCCGACTCATCACACCCACCGCCGCGGCACTGAGCTCCACGTGAGCACCACCACCTCCTCCCAGTGCTCCCCACACTCTCACCCTGGGCCACCCCAGTGCCAGGCACCCACCGCGGAGTGCAGTTGTGCTCCTGCGCAGGGTGAGGGCACGAGAAGATAAGCAGAGGTGCAGCCCCTTGAGATTCACTTTGGGATCAGGTACCTCTGGAGTCCCACCAGCACCCGCTTCTCCAGGCAAATCCCTGCAGGAGGGGTTATTCTGGAGTTACTGCAGTAGCTGCAGTGCACAGGAATGTTTCAGGGGCTGACATCTCTTGCTCAAGAGAGAAATGAGGAGGAGGGAGGCAAGAGCAGCCCCATGAAGCTGCCAAGCCAGTCCATGCGTAAGCTCTCCATCCTGTGCTCCACTGATGCAACCGGGAATGCCTCTGCCATGACGGGGCTTGTGTCTCTGCCACAGGCAAGCCTAAAAGCTGCCCCCTTGAGAGGGATCATCATGGGCTTGTTTCAGTACTGAAGGCAGACACCCAGCCCAGGAATCTCAGCCCATGTGCTGTGTCATAGTAAGGATGCCTGAAGCAAAGTCCTTGCAGTAGGCCAGCAGTTCCATGCACTGGAGGGAGGGCAGGAGAAGACAGCCCCTGAGCTTTTTGCAATGGGCTGGGGAATCCCAAAAGGCTCTTCAGGGTGCAGCCTAATGCCTGGGGTCCCCCCTTATGTTGTGGGCAGATAAACCAAGCAGGGAAAACCAGGCACCTCCCCTGGAGGCTGCAGAGGCCTGAGGGAGGTAGCTGCCTGGCATTAATGCAGCTCTGAATGCAGATCTCTGGCAGCATGGTGCTGTTGGGGCTGCACATGCCAAGGCTGAGAAGACAGAGGGATGTGGCTGAGCAAACCCATAAAGGTTGAAAAGAGGCTGAGGTGGAGGGAGAGGTCCAGGCATCCCTGGAGCCCCA